AGTGGTGGAGCCGATTAGAAATACTTAGTAGTTTTAGGAATTGACCAAAGGTGCTCCTTCCCAGAGAAAGGGGGTGTCTGCAGCAAAAGAGCCCTAATTCCAGGCAGGTGTAGAGAATGGAGAGCTGTCCTCAAGGCTTATTCTTATAAAGACCCCATCCTGGGGAACCGCAGGGCAGATGCCTGGCGACGCTGCCCAGGCCCAGCTCCATGCGCAGGGCAGAGGGCGCTCTGAGTCACACGGGGCCCTGGTCACCGGGGGCACAGCCGCTGGTGTCCACAGGTCAGACTCTGAGCCACCGGCAGCCACAGAGCAGAAGGAGGAGTCAGTCAGCTAAGGACAGTCCTTCCCAGAGCTGCCACCTCCGCCCCCACCAGCCGACTGGTCCACTCCCCGCCCTCAGCCAGGATATTCCAGCACAGAGCCAGCGGGACCACAGATCCAACCTCCAGCCCCAGAGCCCCAGACCATACCTGGATGCCCAGACAGACGACGTCCTCTGCGGCGAGGTCCCCCTGCTGGCACCGTCCTGCTCTGCCTCATCTGCCCAGCCTGGCATCCTGCCCTGCCCGTGCTCACCCGCCGCACTGGGGACAGCACCTGGCGAGGCTGCAATGGAGCAGGTACCACGTGTGTGCTTCTTGATGACATTTCCAAGACATCAGCAGTCCTGGGGGCAACCCCATGGGCTGCAGCAGGAGAGCACTTGAGGGTTTGGAAAAGGTTTAGGATCTTTCTGAACCCTTCCAGAATGTGCTGCAGGGAACGAGCGTGTTCCCGCGATGAGGCTGTCAGCCAGGATCATGCTCAGATTGCAACAGCCTGGGAGGTAGGTCTCAGACACTGTAGGCGGGGTGCCCCTGGTGTCCCCCACACCACCCTGGGAGCCCAGACAACTCTGAGGCAGCCCTCCTCGCCAGCCCCACTTCAAGTTTCTTGTCATTCCCAAAGAGCCTCCCCCACGCCCGGGAGACTCCCTCTGCACCTTTACAACCCTGCTGCCCTGCAGAAGGGCCCCCACCCATCCCTGCAGCCCCAGGGCTGCCAACCACGTGGAGGCCTGGCCATTTACTGACCGGTCACCTCATCCCTGCCAGGCCTCCAGTCCCCCACAGCAGCTGAGGTCCTGGGCTCTCCAGCCTTGCTCCCATGCAGGGAGAGAGACAGGGTCACTTTGAGCAGAAAAGGAGGAGCCAAGTTTGGAGAAGTTTCTCCTAAAGTATGGGCCTGGTGGCTCTTTTTTTCCCACTGGAAGGAAAACAGCCCAGGTAGCATCTCCCCAGACAGCTGGAGACTCTGACTTCTCCAGGAAAAAGCTTCATCATAAATACGACAGAACAGCCGATTTAAATGCTTTACTGTTGATAAAAGCAAAATTATGAAAACCAATGCCTGGTGAATGGGAAAATAAAGCCCAATCAGCAGAGCAGCAGCATCAGGTCCTGTGAGTTGGGAGACGGAGCCAATGTCCTCCCCTCACCCCCTGGCGCTGGTGCAAGCCATGGCCCTCCCTGCAGGCCTGGTGCACGGCCCGGCTTCCAGAGCAGCTCCCAACCAGGAGACGCACTCCAGCTCCCAACGGCAGGGTCCTCCCTCTGCCCAGTACCTTCCACTGACGTCCAGGCCACAGACTGCCCCCAGGATTCTCATACCTGCCAGGGTTGGTCTTTGGCTGCAGCTTCAGCGGGGTGGCTGGGAACCACAAGTCTCTAAGAAGGCCACAGGGCAGAGCCACAGGTCAAGGAGAGTCCCCTGCAGGCCGGGCCCACACTAGTTTCCAGCAGCACCTTGCTAACCCTGGGCCCTGCAGCTGGGCCCGGCGCCACATCCTCACCCGGCCATGCTGCAGCCCCATGGTTGGCACCACTCAGACCCTGCACCTGGGCTCCCTCCCTCTGCCTACTGAGCTCAGCCTGGTCAGCAAGACACAGGCAGCTCCCCTCCCAGGTCCTCTCTCTCAGAGGATGGTCCCCCAAAACCCCTGCTGTGTGGCCAGGGCCCAGAGCTGCTCCCACCCTCGGTCATACCTACCAGGTCCCCGTCTACCCCCCTCGGGGTGGGGGTTCCTGGGGGCAGGAGCCAGCCCTGGTGTGCAGATGCCAGCCACTCTGAGAGCAGTGTTCACAGAGCTGCAGCTCACGGCTCTGTGCTAAGCGCTGGGTGGCCTTTACCTGGTGCAGCCCTGTGAGAGAGGTAGAGTTCGTGCCCCCACTGCACAGGACTTGAGGCTCAGCCTAGGCCATGTGCCCCAGGCCCTGGCAGGGTCAGAAGTCCAGGTACACCAGGCCACCTCCATGACCCACCACATCCTCAGGGCAAGGAAGGAACAGCCATACAGGGGTCCCCAGCAGCACGTCATGAAAGGTGGGCTCCTTGGCACGAAAAGCTCACAAAGCGGGCACACGCCTTCCCCCACCCGGCAGACGGCAAGCACAGTGGCCGAGAGCCCCAACTCCCAGACGCACCTGGTGCCCACTGGCAACCTTGGGCAAGTCGTCAGCCCTCTGGACAGGAGTCTGCTCTGCAGTGGAGTGGGCAGGGTTCTTGGGAAGGTGAGAAGACACACGGAACACGGAGGAGGAGGAGGGACACACGGAAAGGAGGCTGGGGGAGCGACGCAGGCACCTCCGTGCTCATCCAGCTCCCAAGCCACCAGCCCGGGCCCCGTCCGCTGCCAGGTTCCACAGCGCACGTCAGAGGCGCACCCAGCACAGCCCAGCCCACCGCAACCATGAAAGGCACACCGGCGTGCCAGCTGCACCCTGCGCAGTCAGCAGTGGGGACTTCCTTCTGGAGCTGGCAGTGGCTCCACTCTGCTCTACTTAGCAACACTGTTGACTTCTCACCGCCTTGTTCTTCGAAAAGCAGACCCTGGGCAGGCTCGAGCAGGCTGGTGGGACAGTCAGAGGACTGTGAAGGGGGGCCCGCCATGCCCACCCCTCTCCCAGGCCCCAGGGTTTGGGACCACAAAGCACTCAGCAACAAGAGCTGGACACAGGCACCCA